CCCCCCGCCTTCTGGCAGCTGCGCTGCGTGCGCACCCCCTATCCGCCCGCGTGCGCATGACCAGGGCGCGAGCGAGGGCGCGGGGCTGGGGAGGCGAGGCTGTGGGAGTGCTGGGGGCTGGAGACCTACACAGGATCCCGCGGCGACCCGGCCTTCAAGGAGAGCACTGGGCAGGGTCCGGAGCGTTTGTCCCAGGACCCGGGAGCTGAGGACAGTTCTGCGCACGTGAGGTACACCCCTGATCTGGTTTTTTATTTTTATTTTTTGGTGGTGCTAGGGATGGAAGTTGGGGTGTCCCGCATGCTTGACGAAGGCTCCTCACCGAGCTGCCTTCCCCTCAGCTCTTTTTATTTTGAAACAAGCTGGCCTCAAACTTTGGATCCTCCTGCCTCAGCCTTCCCAGTGGCTGTGTTACAGGTGTGCAGCTCCGTACCTGGCTCAAATCTGGTTCGTTTCTTCCTGAATGGAAATTGGCGATCTGGGGAGTGTCTCGCTGACATCAAGAGCCCTTGGGTGATTCTCACCCCTGGCTGCAGGAGCCAGGTGGAAGGCGATTCAGAAAGGGGCAACCTCGACTCCACAGTCCCACACCTGGAAGGATAGCCCAGAAAATCACCTCAAAGAGACCTCCTGCAGTCTGTCCTTGGCTACAAAATACTCAGGCCACTGTGGCATACTATGCAGCAGAGAAAAAGAGGCTGTCACCCAGTAAGAAATACTAAAGGAGTCAGGGCATGGTGGCACAGGTCTGTTATCTCCGAAGTGGTGAGGCTTGGAGCTCAGCCAGGGTGACATAACAAGACTCTGGCTTAAAATGAAAATAAAAATAAAAGTAAAATCCGGGCATGGTGGTGGACACCTGTAATCCCAGTACTCAAGAGGCTGAGGCAGGAGGATCACCGAGAGTTCTAAGCCAGCTGGGGTACATAGTGAGTTCAAAGCTAGGGTGGACTACGTAGTGAGATCCTGTCAAAATAAATACAAATATAAAAAGGGCTACGGATGAGCTCAGTGCGAAGGTCCTGGGTTCAGTCCTCAGTAGTGTAAATACAAGCATACATAAATATAAGAAGAAGAAATTAGAGAAGAGGCAAGCGGTGTTCTCTGGAATTAAGCCCCAGACCTCTTTCATGTACACAAACGGAGCTCGCCGCTGAGCAGGGTCTGGGAACAAAACATCTCTACCCGCACTTCCCATCCCTGCGGCGAAGGGGCGCGCTCGCCTCCGCATTTTCCTCACCATCGAGTTCTCTCGCTCTTCCGCGTTATCTACACAAGTCTCACAGCCCCGTGTTCTCCCAGGTCCGTAACCAGCTTCTCTTCTTTCCCCTTCTTTGCGCCCTGTTGCTAAAGCACGCGAGTCTTGTCCTGCACAATCTCCACCAGTCAAAACCTGGCAAATTGCTCAACTCGGTTCTTCTAATCCCTGCACTCTTCGTGGGCTGAAGGATGGGTTTAAGATTCTACCGCAAGAAGATTCCATCTCACCCCAGAAAGAATCGCTGTTAGCAAGAGATCAACCAATGATAAATGCTGCCGGGGTCTTGGGGAGAAAGGAACCCTTCTCCACTGTGAGTGGGAGTGCAGACTGGGGCAGCTGTGGAAATCAGTGTGGAGATTCCTCAAAAAACTAGGATTAGAGGTCCCATTTGATCCAGCCATTCCCCTCCTGGGTATCTTCCCTAAAGAACGCAAAGCGTCATCCCACAGCGACATGCTCTTGGAAAGAGCCCAAATGCCCATCAACTGGTGAATGGATAAAGATGTGGATTTTTTTATTCTGCCATAAAGAAAGAGAAGCTTGAGACATTTCTAGGTAAATGGATGCACCCTGAGACCATACTCTTAAGGGTACTAAACTGGACACACGTGTAAATACCGCATTGTTTCTCTGGTGTGAGAAACCGAAAGTGTGAATAAGGACCAAAATGTATACCAGGTATTGTGAAATAGGAAGAAAATGTTCCAATGGGGAGGGGAACAAGACACGGGGGAAGGAAAGAAGGGAAAAGTAAAAAAATGAGAAAAGAAGGAAAAAATGGAAACAAAGCTTTTGTAAATGGGGAGGGGAGGAGAGGTTGGAGGGAGGGTAGGGGAATAGGAAAGAATCAAGTTATATCATGTACAGGTACAAATTCTCTATGCTGATTGTAATCATTATGTAGATCTAAAATATACCAATAAAATCTGATTGAAAGAAAGAAAAAGATTCTACAGCAAGCATGGTGCATCACCGCCCTCGGAAAGCCACAAGTTCGAGGCCAGCCTGAACTACACAGCAAGTCCCTGTCTCAGAAAAACCCCAGAACCAACCAAACAAAGAAACAAACAAAACCAAATTCGGGGCATCAGTTGACGTGGGCTCTCCATGCCCCCGGGCATTTGCACAGGCTGTCCCTCTGCTGACGCATCCTTCCTGCCCTGCCAGGCAGCTCCTGTCCTGCCCACACTCGTACCTGCGTCCCCCGTGGGGGATGGGTCTCCCTTGAGTCACCGCTGGGTGGCTCACGCATATTTGTTGAATGAATAATAAATGAAGAAGGGCGGAAAGGGAGTGGGGTAACTTCATCCTGGGTTTTTTTTCTGTTTTTTTTTTGTTGTTGTTGTTGGTGGTGGTGGTACCAGGAATCAAACTCAGGACCCTGCGCTTGCCAGGCAGGCGCTTGTGCCGCTGAGTTATATCCCTGGCGCTTTTTTATTCATTTTTGAGACAGGGTCTACTATGTAGTTCAGGCTGGCCTTGAGCTCAGTAGGTAGCTCAAACTCGCGGCGAGCCTCCTGCCTCA